CAGACATTATTCTGCTCTAATCCAATACAAGAAGAACAGCCAACAACTCCTTTAGGAATGAGGTCGGTGTAATTTGCATGAAAAATATAAACTTCGCTTCTAGGCCTTACATGTACTTCTCGGAACAAGGTAATTTTGATGATGATGCCACCTTTATTACGATACTTTTGGTTTCATTCAATTTACAGTCTTGCTGCCTCATGCAGTCTGCAGTCTGCAGTCTACAGTCTGCAAATGTCATACACCGTTATTATATTGTCAGCATTGACACTTTAATTCAGTAATCGAAAATTATATAAGTGGGAAACTGGTTTGCACTGTTGCATACTGTCTCATGACAGTGATTAATCAGCCATCATCATTTCGGTCAAGATTTTTGTATTCAAAGCTATCGTATTGCCTCCTACAATGTGGGCTCGCTTGGGGCTATTCTTGTTGTTTTCACTTTTCTGAACTCGTGACAAGGCAGTCATTTACAAGTAGAGTTTCAAATGTAATTTTCTATTGTTTAAACTTGAAGAAGCAGTTATCTTACTCGTATCACCATGTCATCAAGACCTTCGCATGATTCTGCAACTGATCTGAGAGTTTTCACCATGTTTGAAACCCTTTTAAATATTGAGGTTCTGCAGGCAATAGCAGTTTGAGGAGTGTTCCTTCCACACAAACAGTTTTATTCCTTGCTTTCTCCCTTCAGAGATTTCGGGGTCCAAGTTACCCGAATTTAAATGATAAACGACTCTCCTACAAGCCGAACACACTTTCTGTGGATGGATTTCTCTGGAGTCCAGCCCAATATCTACGCCAAAGAAGTTCAAAAGTTCCCTTCCAAACGCTGTTTTGTCGCAGTTCTGGACAGTTTTGACTTTAGAGAACGTTTTCCCACACAAACGGCATCTTCTTTGCAAAACACCAAGGTGATTTTCCATCCGACTGCAAAATAACGTAAAATAAACATGGCGTTACAAAAACCCGCACGTTAACAGCGCAACAGACTTTTGCATCTTTAAAAGCACAGCACTATGTGAAACTGCTTTGCACTACACCAAACAGACCACTATCAATTTTATGTAGATTTCAAAAAAATTTTTTCAAAGGTCCAAAAAATGACACTCACCTTCTCTTTTTCGATGTTTTGCTCCTTGTCGGGCATTTCTTTGAGCTGAAAAACTCTCGTGTTCGGTCGTTTTACCTCCCAAGAACGCACAAACGCTCATCGAACGGCATTTTTTCTTCACACCCCTGATTTCGCATTGTCTAAAGTCACAGCTCTCAAAGTAGTACTGGGAAAGGACACTTCTAGGCGCAGCAAAGAGCCAGGAAGTGACCTTCCCTCATGTTTCTCGGCGTGGGCGCCATTTTGCAAATGTGGGTGACGTCATCATATATCCAGATCTGGTTGTGGCCCTGACTGATATATTATCTCTGATAATGATGACATGAAGACAAGCTTCTTTTTTATCATTGACTTTTGTTTTAAAATGTATTTCAAAATCGATTCTTATAAGATTTAAACCTGACCGGGATAATTTAATTTAAATAGTGAATTAGAGAAAAACAAACTTCTGGTACACTCTTTTTTTATATAAGAATGTTGTTTTTCCGGCCCAGGCTGAATATTCTTATTTTTTTGCCGATTTTAGGCTGAAAATATTCTTGTATTTTTCTTAAATTATAGCTTATGACATTTCCGTTTTAGAACGTATTGGGGTATCAAGTGTTGTTCGTGCAGGTTTTTGCGCTTTGTTGGCAAGTTTTGCCGTTCAGAGGATGGAATAAGTTGAAAACATAATTGTGTGGTATTTACAGTTTTTGAACACACAAAATTACATCCTTTTCAAAACCTCAGCCTGGGGTTTATTCTTACAATATTCTTAAAATTTCGCAAATTTCAGCCTCGATATTCTTATAAAATATATTCTTATAGAAAAAAAAGAGTGTAGTTCATTTCGAGTGATGTCATCATGAAAATGGCCAACTCTGATTGCTGAGGAATTACTTTCTCGCCTTGATTGTACGTAAACAGAAAAACATCAAGCCAAAAGCCGCTGTACTACTTTATCGTTCTTCATTGTTAGCAAGCAAAATAAACAATTCCTGATTCTCCTAGTACATGTACTCACCCGGTACGGGGCTTTTCCAGGTTACATCACTGTATCCACCAAATATAAAACTGCCGACTTGAATGATAGTTACAGTGGGTCCCTTGTCATCACAGTTGCCGTGGAACGTAGACGCCGCCCAGCCGTCCTCTTTAGCGTGCCAACACCTCACAAACCTACTACGGACTGAACTATTGATCACGGGCTCCAAAAACAACGTCAAACTCTCCAAGTACCTGCTGTCGTTGCCAAGAATAGTTGATGCATTAAAACCACCTTAGAAAAGAAATCTTTGGTTCATGTCTTTGGTATGATCGCACGCGGAAAAGCGCATCAATCCAGCAAATTATGGCACTCACCGTAGCTGTGCACGGATAGCCGTGCTTAAGGTATATGAGACTCTCTATGAGCGAAGTCGCGAAATCGTTTTATGAAACGACAATCTTAGAGATTAAGCCCCCGTCCACACGTATCCGGATATTTTTGAATCCGCAACTTTTTCTTTGCGGATCCGGCTTCCGTTTACACGTATCCGGTGAATCCGGCATACGAATCCGCAACTTTCTGAATCTGCTCTCCAAAGAGGAAATTTTTGAATGAGTTATAAATCCGGAATCATGTGGACGCTCAGTCTAAATCACACTTACCCATCTCCTAACCGGTGGGGAGCGCTGGGAAGAGAGACCCGACGGGTTAGGGGGTGGAGACGTATGACATTTCAGACTCTTTGAGTGGGCGCCAAGAGCCACTTTTGTGGGCGCAAAATCCGGATATTTCCTTACACTGTAACGTTTTGCCCAGTTCTTTACCGTGAATATTCAAGACGGTGCACAGCGCAATATTATCGCTTCTTTACTTCTTGCACTTCAGGTTCAAGTCTTATAACGTTTGTGCAGGTAAACCTACAATCAGGGACAAAAGTAGTTGACACACTTGTCTAAAACGAGTGCTTTTATCAACATTTTCATACATTTATTATTTCATTCTATTTAAACGCCATAAATCCCCCACCCCACCCCCGAATCAATGTTGTTTGTAGATAAAGAAAGACTTCGGGGTCTAAAACATAACGTTGGTTTTGGGGAAGGGGGTTGGAGTACTCAGGGGAAGGGGATAGGTATGTCCACTGTTCAAAAGGGGGGCATTTTATAGACGTGTCTCAACACGTTTGTCTCTCAATGTAGCTATGATTACTGTACACTTCAATTATGGCAAACGGCGGTTTGACATTTTGAAGCTTCTTTCCATGTGGGACGGACGGATTGGACGCCGTAAACAAGTCAAACGAGCGAAATATAGTGCTTGATGGGACAATTTTATCAGTGAAACAGACTGGCGATAAAATTTCCGCTTGAGCCGAAGATCGCTTTATTACAAATTAGCTGACGAACTGAGAGTGAATCCGGTTTCGTGTGGACGGGCAAATTCGATTTGAATACGGATACGTGTGGACGTGGAAATTTTTGAATCTGCAAAGAAAAATTTGTGGATTAAAAAATATCCGCATACGTCTGGGCGGGGGCTAAAGCTACGATCGCATTGCCATTTCGATAAAGTTTGAGAACGTCACTCGTGCGACAATGGCAAGGAAATTTGCCAAAAAGTGCGCTGCACGTTCAGGCTTTTTTTTCTGTTTATCACTCAAACCTGTTGCATGTTTCTTTTCATTTTCATGTTACCTTCGCCGTCATGGTGGTTGCTCGAGCTCCCCAGTAGGACCAGTAGCGTTACCATGCAGAACAACTATTAATATGCGACGACTTCGTTGAAAAGCTGACGATTTGATGAGAAAAGGGCGACGAAAACGACGTCCGCAGTTACTCGCCAATAGAGAGGATTGTATATGAAAACAGTTAAATTTATTATCATGCCATGCTTGCTACAATTCTTACTAAATACTGCGGCTCATTTGCCTTCATGAATCCTCCAAGTGAACTTGAGCTCTGCGTTTAGGTTCCCCACCTCTTTTGCATATATGCAGTCACTAATCCAAAACTGCTCTACAGGTAGAAAGCCCGTAATCTTTCCCAGGTATATTACGAATCAACAGTTGCTCTAAGCCTCTATTTCCAAGCGAGCCTAAGTGCGATATGAAAATGATTTTTTATTCTCATGCAAAAAAAAGTCATTTTCACAAGAAAGATTTTGCACTAAGCCTCATTTTGAAAGTGATAATTCGGAGATGACCTATTTTTGTGAAAGGTTTGAACCCAGGGAATGACCCATTTTTATAATGACCAGCTCCCAGATGGCTTGCTTGCTCGATTGGTTAGAGCGCTGCACCGGTATCGCATAGGTCAAGAGTTTGAATCCGATTCAAACCCGGATTTTTTTTCAGGCCTTTCTTTTCGCACCTGCATGAAGGGTGGACGCGTAATTTTCGCGCTCGTGTAAACGCATGTAAATTTTACTCGCGTAAATAAAATAGAGACAAGGTACGAAGCCGTGTTGCACTTAAACGTGAAGTTGGGCGAGGTTCAACTTTTACTTTTACGCGCGATCCTTGATATATTGCCTCTCTTTTATTTGCGAATGTAATTAAATTTTTCTGCTCGAACGCACGTAAAAATTACGCGACAGTGGAAATTCACCCTATAAAGGGCCTAGAGCAATTGTTGCCTTCTCTAAACGTCATTAGGATTCAAGGCGCAGTACCAACTAATGACCGGTTTACATGGAGGTGGGGGACCACCCCACCTATCATGTAAATGACATCAAATTAAAATGAGAGATTATATGGACAGGCGGGTTACCCAACCTAAGCGGATCTCCTCATCTACCTGGGGTCCCCCACCACCATGTAAACAAGCCCTAAGCCATCAACCCCCCATTCTCCTCCAACTTTCACTCGGATCATTTTATATTTCTGGGCTTAATGCTACACTCACGTGTTTTAATGCACTTTTTCCGATATCCATTATATGGTGGGTTACAAACACAGCGATAGGATCCCGGGATGTTTGTACAGTTTGCATTAGCGTCGCAGTCATGTAAGTTGTCAGCACATTCATCAACATCTGAAAAAACAAAATGCCAGAATTACACATAAACCTACCTCCTACATTGGAATCACAGAAATTTTAAAAAGATGAAGTTCAAGGAGCAGTTCAAAGACTGCTTCCGTAAGATCGTTGCGATCGAGCGCTTACTGCTGTAACAATTAAGTGATCATCTTCATGGTTTTTAAGTGTAAGTATAACTAGGGAAAGAGTATCAAAGGGAGCTATAAGCCCCGACTCTATAAAGGCGCGTCATAAAAAATTAATCGGAAAATGTTTGAAAATCTTTAAATAAGAATGACTGAGACCAGGTTATATGAGCCCGCGAGACTGAGCACCCCACCGGCACCTAAATTCTTGTTTTCTCTTAAACCGCTGGACGCCACAACCTGGTTAAGATCAATGTTATCTAAGGTCTTCCCAAATTTTTACCTTCACAGATGCTCCCATTGCCTTGGTAGCCAGGCCTGCACGTGCAGTTGTAAGAGCCAGGAATGTTGGTACAGTTGGCATTTATGTGACAATCATGACTTCCATCCTTGCATTCATCAATTTCTGGAGGAAGTAGAAAATATTAAGTTACAAAGATAACATAACTATATACTTGCAGGAACGAGAAGTGAAGGCTTGGGTAGCTAATTACAAATGCTCCCATTTCCTGTGTAGCCAGGCCTGCACGTGCAGTATATGAGCCCTAACCTGAGATCAGGCCCAATTTGAGCGGTTCTCATACATTCTCTCTAACGGCTACCGCTGAAATTGGGCCTGATACAAACTATTACAAGTTTGTGTTCGTTACGGCCAGATTTTGGCCGTAACGCTGATTGGCTGTTAGAACAATGCCACAAGATCTGATTGGGTGTCGGAAACGCCGGAAGTTGAAAGCACTTATTCCTCGCGTGGTTGTTTTCGTGAATGATCCGTCGTCGGTGCAGAGAAGGATCGATTTTGCTGTCTTTTTATTGTTTTATGGTCTTATGGTACGAAAATATGCCTTAATATGTGCCATGGAAATTCAGAAAATTCATGTGGTTGTTCATATCTTCTCAGGATTTGCTTTATTTACGGAAAGTGAGTGTATCGCGGAGTTGAATCCCTCTGCAAGTTGTTGATCGCTAACAAGATGCATTTTGATTAACAGACAAAAGCTATATTTTAAGTCAGCCAGTCTGCATTTTTCCCGCGCGTGAAAAATTTGCATACTAGAAAAACAAGCAACGGAAGTAATTCTGATTGGCTGATTCGGCAAATGTCAATCAATCAAAAAAGTGGGCGGCAGACATTTCGTAGAAGGTTTGTATCAGGCTCTCTTTTCGTTTCGTCTTGCCCGCCGAAATGTAATTTTCAAAGCGAAACGAAAATAGAGCCTGATCTCAGGTTATATAAGCCCGGAATGTTGGTACAGTTCGCATTTACATCACACTGATGAGTTTTATCCTTGCATTCGTCCAGGTCTAATATAAAAAAAAACAAACAAGAAAACAAGCATAAATCCGGGGGGGGGGGAACCCCCTACAATGACCTATACGGGGAAGCTCCGGCAGAATTGCGAAATGGGTGCCTTTTCCAGGCTTCAGGTGTGGTTGAAGTATATGAGAGGGTAGGAAAATCTGTGTCATTTTAGTCTGTAAAAAGACCTAAAAGGGCTAACAGAAGGATTTTATGGCTGTGAAAAAGTCGAGACATTTTCCTGGTTTTCTGATTTATTCACAGTTTAACGACAGTGCATTTACGGCAGCTAAAAGTAATGTAAAGTTCCAAATTAGGTATTTGAAAGGGGTACTGTGTAAGGGACGTCAGGGGTACCTTTTCTCTCAAAAGAAATATATAGAAAGGTAAGGAGCTTGACCTCAAGGCGGAGCTTTACAAGATAAAACTTTGCTGCGGAATTCCTCCTACCCCGGGGGGCACAGATGTTTTCTATCCCAGACTGCAGGCATTCGCAAAAGAACTTCTTGTCCGTATATCCAAAAAAACACTTTTTATTGTTCAAGTCTGTAACAGGTGACCATCTTGGTTTTAAGTGTAAGAATAACTATGGAAAGAGTATCCAAGGGAGTACGACCAAAGGGAGCTATGAGTCCTGACTCTTTAAAGGCGCATCACAAAAATTAACCGGCAAACTTTTACCTTTACAAATGCTTCTATTGCCTGTGTATCCAGGCCTGCATGTGCAGTTATAAGAGCCGGGTGTGTTTGTACAATTCGCATTCATGTGGCAATCATGGCTTCCCTTTTCGCATTCATCGATGTCTGAATAAGAAAAAGAAAAAAGAAATAAATATAAATTAAATCTGATCACGACACTTATCAGCAAGTTTTACTATTAAAAATGCTCCCACTGCCTTGGTAGCCATGCCTGCATATGCAGTTGAAAGAACCAGGAATGTTGGTACAGGCCCTTGGAAGTAGTAAGCGCAAGAAAGCAGGAACACACCCGTTTTTTTTTTTTCTTGCTCCCAAATACTTCCATCCTGCGCCTGCTAAATATTTACTTCCATCCTTGCATTCATCAATTTCTGGAGGGAGTAAAATGTTAAGTTACTGAGAAAACTAAATTATTTGCAGAAAAATGAAGAGAAAGTTTGGATAGTTAATTATACCATTACAAATGCTCCCATTTCCTGTGTAGCCAGGCCTGCACGTGCAGTTATATGAGCCAGGAATGTTGGTACAGTTCGCATTTACGTCACACTGATGAGTTTTATCCTTGCATTCGTCCAGGTCTAAAAAAAGAAAAGAAAACAATATCCGATCAATTAGCCACCAACCTCGTACATCGTATATAAACCATTGCCGACATTCAACGCAAGAAAATAATCAAGTTTGTAGCATGCTGATTGCTTAAGGGAAGACTGATTGTTTCACTCATTGCGAGAAGAGCAAGCATAAATCCCGGGGGGTACCCCTGTAATGGCTTATACGGGGAAGCTTCGCCCGAATTGCGAAAAGGGTACCTTTTCCAGAGTTCAGGTGTATGAAAGGGTTGGGATTTCAATAGTTGAAGTATATGAGAGGGGAAGGAAATCTGTGTCATTTCGGTCTGTAAAAGGACCTAAAAGGGCTGACAGAAGGATTTTATGGCTGTGAAAAAGTCGACAAAATTTCCTGGCCAGTTTTGTGATTTATTCACAGTTTAAAGACAGTACATTTACAGCAGCTAAAAGTAATGCAAAGTTCTAAACTAGGTATTTGAAAGAGGTACCATTTGTCAATGGAAGGTACTGGGTAAGGGAGGGGTACCTTTTCTCTCAAAAAATATTATATAGGAGGGTAAGGAGCTGGACCTCAAGGTAACCTGAGATCAGGCCCAATTTTAGCGGTTCTCATACATTCTCTCTAACGGCTACCGCTTTTCGTTTTGCCTCGCCCGCCTGAATATTATTTTCAAAGTGAAACGAATATAGAGCCTGATCTCAGGTTAACGTAAAGGGGGAGCTATCCAGGATAAAACTTTGCTGCGGAACCCCCCTCCGGGTGGGGGGGCACAGATGTTTTTTTTAACCATGACAACGTTGATTATTTCTTATTAAGCAACATTCACTTGTTCTCTATTTCTGGGTAGGATACACTTTCGTTTTTCTAACCATCTCGAAGCAACAGCCGGCGAGCCAGCTGGCGATTCCGTGCATGAGAGACGTGGACGTAGACGTATTTCCAGTTTGTTTCTGCCCGACAAGTATTCTTTGCGGCGCAGACAAGCGAAAACAGGACTGAATATGTCTGCGTTTGCTGGCCACATAATCACCTGTTTCGCAGAGTTCTCCCGTGTAACCAGACTGGCATTCGCAAAGAAACCTCTTGTCCGTGTATCCAAGGAAACACTTTGCATTGTTCAAGCAAGGTTTGTAGGCACAAATATTCTAGTGAAAGTAAAAGCGTAATTTAGACTTCATGAAATTTTAATATTATATTGTAGGAGTCTTGCAGACTTCGAGCAGTTCCCTTTTCAGTCGGTCAAATCGAGACTAGACAGAGCTCGAGAGAGCAAACCAATCGAGAAGGAGGGTCTGAATGGGGTTTAATGTTTGGTGTTATTTGCCCATAATTTTGAGTGTTTGCTGTTAAATTAGCCAATTTTTTAATGTTTACTGTTTCCGAAGAAATACTGTCAAGTGTTTGGAGGGTTCATCGGACATCTTCGGCAATGATCGGACCTCTTCGTTAGTCTTCGGAAATCTTCTGAAATAATCAGGAATTGTCGTAAAATGGCCAAAAACTCCTTGATATCCTAAAAAAATAATATTGGCCTTTTTGGAGCCGTTTTTGCTTCTATCTGGGAAAAAATTAGTTTCAAAGAATCTTTATTGTTAGTGTTAAAATGCCTAAAATTTAACCATTTCATGTTACAAAGCCAAAAAATGAAGTGTTTAATGTTATCTAGGTACCCCCCCATTCAGACCCTCGAGAAGGGAACTGGAGAGAGGCTTGTCCTTTTCCGTCTTCCTCCTTGCGCGTTGGCCTCGCACGCTCGCTCACACGTAACCTTCTCGTACGCGCGACAATCCTTAGAGACTGCAAGTAGTCAATGCTCCCTATTACCATTCTCATTATTATTTTATGTCTTCTTCATCGCCGCTCGACAGATCTTTGGCTAGACTTTGTAAAAGTCCGTTTTGGTTGGTTCCCCCTTGTCTGGAGGGAAGACGGACAAGTGCAATCTTCGGGAGAGAACCCAAGACACGAGCGGTCACTATAACAGTTAACCGAAACAGGAAACCGCATATGAAAAGTCTCTGACACCCAAGGGTCGTCATCACTATCTTTTGATTGTCATTGTCATCATCACTTCCATAGCTAAAACTTCACTTTTTGGGCTATGAACAGTTAAACGCTTACCACAAGATAATTCACAACCATTGCCGTGATTAATTTATTCCAGTGAAATTCGCCCTACCTGTGTACCTTTATACGTCCAGCCTTCTCTTCGTTTTAAATCATTTGGATGCTGTATGTGATCTGAGTTACACAACTCACAGACCCTCATATCATTAATTGCTGGACCAATGTTGATTGCCACGCACTCTCTCCGGTAAAGACATTCCGTTTCGCAAGATTTGCTTGCTCCAATGGAAAGGTTTAAAAAGGTGTGGCCTTGAAGATACATATAAAGGCCATACTCCCGATCAAAAAACTTCAAATACCGAATGTGGCCACAGGTATCTAAAAGATACATTAAAAAAAAATAGCAATGTTAACGTCTATTTTATTTTATTTATTTTATTAGCTTTGCCCTGAAGAATACAGAAAAAAAAAAGACACTGAAGATATGCAAATACTAGTAATAAGAACGTAACAATACACTAATAATAACTTAAATATTTGGGCAGGGACACCGCAACAGCTAAAGCCAATTACTGCGAACCCAAAAAATAAAAGGATATAAAAGTAGCAATTTAAATCACATGCAGCAGCTAATTTCTTGGTCTAAATACCTGGCTGTGTTACATTTCAAGCAAATACTTTTGAAGCCCCTTGGAGAGTCCGGGCCATAGTTTATTGCTAGAACCCGCGAGCAATAACCGTAAAGAACAGATTTAAAGTTCTCAAAAGTAACATTATCTAGGTCAAGTCTAGTAATAGGCAGGTTCCAGATTCTAGTGGTTCAATTGAAAAAAGATTTCTGAAAGGTAGCAGTCCTGCATTTTTTTAGGCACAAAAGATTGACAGCTCGTTACAGATATACGGGTCCTTCGCGCGCATTCTCTGACGTAGGGAACAACAGACGGATCTAAGTGAATCATATTATGCGTAGCCTTGTAAAAGTATACTAGATCTAGTAACTCGTGCCAGTAGCACACTGGAAGTAGGTTTACAGACATTAGTCTTCCTTTGTAAGAGATATTTGTTAAAAAAGGCAAGCAAAGAATGAATTTGATATTTGGCACGTCTTTGGATACTTTCAAGTTTAGAAATTAGTTCAATGCCTTGGTGCGTCCAGATCTGGGTTGCGTAGCCAAGATGAGCACGAACAAGCCCGGGGTACAATGTGCACCTTACGGAAGTGCTGTGAATAAACCTAGAGTTCCTCCTAACGAAACCTAACAACTTGTTTGCACGTGCAGCTTGGTGAGAGACTTGGCGTGCCAAGTCAAGTCACAGTCCAAGGAGACGCCAAGGTCACGCTCTACGTCACAGGACTTGATGGTACTGCCGTTAACCTCGTAGCTCGTACAGATGGGCTTGCGCTTCCTCGTAATGGTCTGAAGCTTGCATTTGTTATCATTGAAGGCTAGGCCAGAGGCAGCAGACCATGAAGACAGATTATCCAGATCTTGTTGGAGAGCGGCGCCATCATCCTCAGACATCACTACCTTGTATACTTTAGTGTCATCTGCAAACATTGCCACTTTGCTATTGAGGGTAGAATCTGAAGGTTGTTCACATATAACAAGAAAAGAGCAGGTCCGAGTATTGAACTCTGAGGGACTCCAGAGGTGACAGGTAGATCGCGTGATGTCGCTCCTAGTACGGTGACGCGTTGGCGCCTGCCACAGAGATACGCGTGAAATCATGTGAGCAGGTTCCCTCCGAAGCCAGCATCCCGCAGTTTTTCCATAAGGAGGTCATGTCTAACCTTATCAAAGGCTTTGGACATGTGTAAATACACACAATATGCTTGACCAGCTCTATCAAGAACAGCACCGATGTAATCTAGGGTCTCTAGTAGATTTGTGACACATAAGTGTCCACTCCGAAACCCGTGCTGACAGTCCGCAATCAGATCTTCTAATCGGTCATTGATGCGATTCAAGACATAGCGTTCGATGACTTTAGAAATAATGCAAAGTAGGGAGATAGGCCTATAGTTTTCAACATGATCTTTTTTATCCTTCTTATAGACAGGCACTACATTGGCCAATTTCCACTCAGACGGTATGTAGCCTTCCCCCAGAGACCTGTTGAACAGCTTGCATAGTGATGGAGCAATAGTAGTCGCGGTTTTCTTTAGGATTCTTGCCGGGATCTCATCTGGACCATGCCAGTGGCTTTGTTTGGGTCTAGTGATTTTAGGACAGCCTCAAGTTCGCCGACGTGCAACACAATATCGCTAAAGGGGGGGAGGGGGGTCTGCGGCAGGGAATTTCCCTGCACCTTTATCTACTTTGTCCTCTTGAAGAACGGAGAACACTGAAGTGAAATAGTTATTAAAAATGTCTGCGATTTCTTCTGGCGTGTCAGCGGTTGCACATAGGTTACCAGTTGCCATGGAGACACTTTGTGGTATGTTGTGCGACTTTGAGCGAGTTGTTAATACTGACCAGAAACGTGATTGATCTTGAACTCGATGTTAGCAGACTCAAAGAACTCTTCCCTGCTTTCTTTGATCGCGCGCTTTACTTGTGAACGCAGAGTTTGAAATTTGGATTTTAGTGACTCCGACGGGTGCAATTTTAGTTTCTTGCGTACGGTTTCCTCTTTCTTGATAAGATTGATAACGGCACCTGTGAGGCAGGCCCTTGGGTTTCGACCTCTCAATCGCTTGGTTGGAATATTGTCTTTTACTGCAGCAAGAAATAGGTCTTTCCAGGTCTGCCAGCAGCTTTCAAGGTCGCCCTCACCCACCACACTTGTAAGATCAACTGAACGCAGAGCGTCTCAACCACTTAGTCTTTTTTAAATTATATTCCACTACTAATTTCACTCACGTTAATTCAGAGAACACGTTAAAAAAACATCAGTGCACTCTTTCGTTCTCCCACGCTCCTCGACCGTGATCGTTTATAAATGAATAACCGATCCTTTGCAGACTGCTTGCTGGACAAAAACATAACACCACCAACAGCAACCACAACAAGAACAGGTTACCATGAATGTTAAGCAGCTAAATATTTCACAATGAAATTTAAAAAACTTTGGAACTAAAATGGAGTATCTGTGAAATGGTCAGAAGCTATCGATCGTACACTACATCGTAATCTAGCCCGCCTTGGCTTTTTCTCTTATACTTTTTGTTTTTAGGGCACTGACATTATAAGTAATACTGTATCAACAACTTCAGCCAAAAATCATGGGACCTGACTGGTTCGTTTTGCTTAGCATAGACTGTGTAGTCCTCTCCCATGTTGAGTTTCAACTTTTTTGCAAATGGGAGGCAGCGAAGGTTATAATAGTAAGCTGTAAGTTTAGTAAAGTGTAAGGTCTCGTTTATGAACAGAATTGAAAAAGTCCTCCTTAAAGGTTTTTTTGAAAATATTACACTTAGTAGCAAAACGAGAATGAAGGTGAATGTATGGTGTGTGCATATGTTAACAACTGGCTTTAGTCATACCTTGATTTGCACTAGCAATGCAGCTTAGCCAAGCTCCCCAGAGAACACAGGCCAAGAAGAGTGCTTGAACAGCAAAGCAACAACCATCCATGCCGGGTGAATTTGTCAGAATGCTACCCTTCTCGATTCTCGTCTTAATTTAAGGCTGAGATGTCACGAACTGGCAACCCAATCAGTTCCGTTTGACACGTTCTTTTATTAGTTGTCGTGTAAATTAATTTTCGAAGCTAACATTAACAGCCAGCAAAATTAAAACATGCTCATTAATTTTGACTTCCCTTCAGTTTCAGTTTCATTTATCAACTCTAATTGCCTTTAATACAGCTAGCCACTAATTGCATTGAATTTCTTAACATCTGCCAAAGCGGCTCGGAACGTTGAAAAGTTCTCGGTTAAATATCACCCCAAAGAAATTAAAAGATATTAGTCATCATGTTTTTGTTTTTGTTATTGTACGTTGGATTGTCCGTCGTGTTCAGTTGAAGTATGAGCAGCATTATGATATGAGCAGACTCAGTTAATTTCAAAGTAATATTTTACCTAACTTCAATTTAGTGGATATTCTTAGTTTGGCATGTTTTTAATAATATTTTAAGTGATATTTTTCCTAGTAAAACTCTATCTTAGCTGCCAATTTTTGTTTCACTGTTTAATATGGACCTTTTGGAATAAGGCCGTTTTTTACTTTAAAACGTTTAGTGAGTTCTCTCCTTCAAAAAAGGTTCATGGGCCTAACACGTTCACTTGTTGGGCGCCTTTGAAATGACAAGAATATTACTCAATTAAAGGATCCACCCTGATACTACATGCACGTTTTCCTACTAGCGCGCGCGTATATATAGGAAAGTACTTACTTACAGTTACAACATGTAGTTAGTATACCAGAAAAAAATCTCGATTTGCTTAAACAGGGGCCACGAGGAATCGATGGACGATTACTGTACCCTGCGAGCAGAGGTTACATCAATTTTTTCAGTTTGCAGTTATAGTTTGTTTATTGGGCAGCTCACACCGCGAAAATGTAGACTCTGCTCGTAAGGTAGACGATTACAGAAATTTCCCGAAATTGTTTGCTGAAACTAGACTAGAATGCGTGTGAAAAAATTCTCGAAACGCCGAGCTGAGGGTGTTTGTTTTGATCAACGCTGCGCAATGATCGACCTGACTCAGTGCATGGAATCTTGCGTTTTCTGCTTTTATTTCAGCTATTGTATGTTTTATGTGTGAAAACCTTCAATACGAATCGGTATATTTCAAAGAGCTACACAAAAACCAAAGCTACTATGACCGAGAAAATACAGAGCGGGGGCAGCTGTAGTGTCAAGTATTACTAAACTCCCCATCATGAAGTGTTTTAATTTATAGATTTAGCCAGGGCTAAAAGCGAAGCTCTCTTTAATATTTATAGTTTCCTCAAAGAAAATATAAAATCGACTAATACTAAAGACAAGGTAAAAAACAACAACAATGGATCTAATTAGCCAGAAACAACTTTACACGTGCGGAACACTTTTTGTTCTCATCAGCCAGACACGTGCAGCACACTTTTTGTACATTTCCTCGCCGTTGTTTTGCACGACTAAAGCGTGAAACTTCTTTTAACTTCATATTTACACGTTTTATGGAGAAAATATTTGGGCTCCTGTTTACTCTGTTTTTTCACTGCCGCTCATTTTCACCTTGGTAGCTGCTAGCATTTCTCATTTTCTCACCGCCGCTATGTATAATTCTCATGTTTTTCTTCCAACGAAATTGGTCTCCATTGTTATTTATTTCTCGCTCCAGCTGTTTTCTTAATATCCAGGTTAATGTAGACATTAAAATTTAGTGGAAAGAAAGGCTTGTTTTTTTGTTTGTTTGTTTTTTTCTCTTCAAAAGTCCGGTCGGCCATGTGTTTTACCACCGAAACGAGCAGGGGTGCTTTAAATGCAAAATTTTACCTCAGCTATAACATACTCCTCCCCCGAAGCGCCGACTCCTGACTCCCTTCCCCCTCTCCCAGAGTCTGTACGGTCAACGTTCAATCGTCATAACAAAATTTTCTTGAATGGATTGATTACCAAATTTTCTAAGCTATGGGGGCTCCGCTTAACTAATTAAGCAATGGAGAGGAGAAGTCGTTACGTCACGTTGTATAATAAAAGCTGTTATCAGTAAGTCTCAAGCCCACTTTGGTGACCAGTTCATACATGTAGGTCCTAGTGGCTGAATTTGGGTACATTTTCGTGACAGACCTCCTTTTATATTTGGCTCATGCATTGTTGCATTTTTAGGAGTGTACAAAATCATTGTGGTAGAGAAATGTGGTCACCCACCCTCCCTTCGGCTGGGCGGGTCACCCTTCAAGCGAGGCTAACTTTTTGTTTCTCACGTAAACAGTTCACCACATTTTGTAAGGAAATGTCCCTTCTACCCATGACAATTTGTCTCCATAGAAATAGGGCCATTATATCGGAAAGGAGCAGCTGCTTGTGTCTACATCAAGGCCTGTGCCTACCCACATGACTACACCCAGCTGCATCGCAACCTTGCATCAACTGAACTGAACAACCATCAGATAGCCTGAGAAAACAGCCGACATTTTTCAACATCACCACTGGTTTCCCTGTGAAATGACGTCTGAGAAATGACTGCAGAAATTTTATACTGTTGAGGTGCCAATACCCAGTTCTGGGTAGTGCTTCTGATTGGTCGAGAACCAAGGGAAAATTGCAATCAGAAGCACTACTCAGATCTGGGTAGTGACACAGGACGTCGCCAGTATGAAATTTCTGCAGTCACTTCCAAACGTCATTTTAGGAAGAAATCAGTGGTGGCGTCCCCAAATTTTGGCTGCTTTCTCAAGCGACCATTGAGATTGTTGTCGCAAATCAAAATCTTGACTATAGAAGCCAAGGAAAAGGTCTCAAGTTAAACTGGATTCCACAACACTAGACAACTTGGGTTGACTACCATACACAGAACTCAGTTTAATTTTAAAGTTTCAAAGTCAGTTGGTTAAACAACTGACGGCAAAGAACCTACAATAATGAACAAAAGCTACAACCGAAAGTTACTCTATACTTAAGTCTGGTTTAAAGCAGCAGCAAGCTAATCATAAGTACCTTTTGTTACCTAATTAACAGGCATTCTTCATAACAGTTGACCTGCGCCATTTTAAAGCAGCTCTGTGACTGGTCTGCAATGAGTACCTCTGTTTCGAATGTTTGCCCTTGGCCAGAGCGGGGGGCAAGCGCCCGAAACCAGGGCGGATATACCTTTATGGGCCCTGCTCCAAACATCAGCTTTCAAAGGGTCTTCTCGTTGGTGACTTGATTTTATAAACTCAATGGATGAAACTTTTTTTGGTGAGTTGGTCTCTCTCACCGATGCAGTACCACAGATTGTGTTGAAACTATAAATTCCTTCAACCACATTATCATTTTAAACTGAACCAACGAATCACAGAGATGCACATTTTCATGCGCATTTTATGAGGAAAAAACATTCCTTTGAACTCGATAACCAACCAAAGGGCCGCTTTGGATTTGTGCAGGGCATCGCGTGAATGCATTTTCTTAGGCATTGGGTTGAAATTTTAAAAAAGGCATAACACTTTATATAAGCCGTCCACAAAAGTGTTGATGCACACACGCGCGAGTCCACCTGGTCTCGATTTCTTCGATCGTTCAAGCAGTCTGCGCTAGGTCCATGCGTGATTTAATGCCTGTTGCCGAAATGAAGGAATGTTCATGTCTCCTCGCATTGCTGAAGTCCCTTATTAAACTCTCCACCTGGCGGACATTTGCGTGTGTACCGACTCTTGCAAAACATACAGTAATAGGCCACTTCCGAGTTCCAAAAGCCCTCACTTTCAAAATGAGGCCAAGTGCATCACTTTTCTTGTGAAAATGAGTATTATTTGCATAAATCATTTCCATATCAAAGGCTGAGCACTTAACCTCGTTTTTATACAGAGGCCCAGGTAACTCAAAAATTAAATGACCTTTTGCCAACTACAAACCTTGAATTACCTTTATTAAAATGCCTACACAATTTCCTATTACATTATGCAATATACGTAGCTAAGAAATATGTGTGTCGAAATATAAGAAAATATAAGAAATATAAGTGTCGAAGCTTCAACTCTTGGGCTCAGTGGGGTTGCAAGATTCCATTTTGTTCTTTGCTTTTTTCTATTCTAATTTTTCTCAGACAGGAACTGAGCCTGAAAGCTGAAGCAAAAGACACTGCAAATTCCTCACGTTGAAATTGGTGGAATCGACAATGTTTTAGACTGAACTTCAGCCTTGGCTTTGCTCTGCTCTTAGGATATTCTTAAAAAGGTTTCTATAAAACAGGAGTAAGCGTGGCTTAGCACCAGGACGCCGAGGACTGATCAGGAATGTAATTAGTTTAGCTATATAGGAATTAACACAGGACCAGTTCATGAGCTTTGGCCCTGCTCTTTACTAATAATTTCTAAATCAAGCGCACAAATCTCCCTCACTTTTTCGTTGGCAGAAGTTCCTAGGATTTTTCTCTTAAATAAGCGAGCTGCAGAATAAAACGCCAGTGGAATAAAGCATGCTGTACAGTCTCTAACGTCCTGTAAATCTATCCACGCTGCCTCGTTAAGCCTTGAGACTTAAGTTTCCTAACACTAGACGTGATATACAATTAAGCTGTTTACAGTTGCTTTTTCTATCCCTGGTTTTCTTTTGTTCGAACACCGTGTTTTCACGTCAACTTAAATATGACCTCAATTTTCATATTTCAGTCAAACGCGATGTGACATTAGAAATGCCGACTAACGAAATTTACCTTTCTGGTAAAACCATCGACTAACAAAAGAGAATTAAACTAATGAGTGTTATCAGTCAACTAACATGCTGTAAAGCTGGACAGGTATTTTACTATAAAGCTGAGAAAACAGCCGATCTTTCGAGGGGCCATTGCTGGTTTCCCCGCGTATTTTATAGTGTTCAAGAACCTTACTTAACCTTACTTAACCCGTTAAGCCCCAATATCCACATACAAATTCTCCAAACTGATCTCTATATATTTCCGTAAAGAATGAGTTAAGAGAATTTGACAAAAGATCAAAGCGTTTTCTGTTAGGTGATTATTTTATTAATTCTCATAACCTAGTCTCTTGACAATGTAGGGATATCATTGGGAGAAAATTGATGTTGGTCACTATTGGGACTTAAAGGGTTCAGGTAAGTGGTTGTTTGCCTCTGGGAAAACCAAAATATACCCAGTGGCGGATCCAGAGGGAGGGGACTTAAAGACTTAAAATTAACGAAATCTGGACAAAAGTATTTTATCATTTAACTCAGGAGACGAATGGTTCAAAGCTGGGCACTGCTCGACTAGAATATCACGTATCACGTTTACCTTTTATTTTGTATAGCTGTCGAATCAGAGTGCTAATAAAAAAAACGACCATCTTTCTCATTTCTTCAATGAGGTTTTTCTATCTCCGTTATCTGATAATAGTAAGCTGCAGCTCTGTTTCTCTTGGCGTGTTATCTATGCTAGTGCTATGCACCTATCAATGTAAAGCCGGCGGGGGCGGGGGCAGGGCATGGGGTGGGGATTTGATTGTCTTTGTTGGCCCTGGGGTAGGGCATTTGACTGATCTTGTTCTCCCAGGGGAGGGGATATTTAAATCTTTCTTCGCCCAACGTGGAGATATTTGACTGCCGACTCAGACGAAAAAGACTGGGACCGAACATATGTTTCCCGCTTCCGGGCTTCACGCATGTGCCGTACGGTTTGAAAAGATCAGGAAGTCATGGAGGCCAATGAGAACAAGCGAAGGCTGCGTGGATTTCACTGTTTTGTCTTCAAATTTCGTTTGTTAACTTTTGTTTCAGCGTGTTTTTGATCAATTGATTCTCTTAAAATACTGTGGTATCAAAGTAAACGGAAGTAAAGAGAAACCAAGTCCATTTTTGCAAGTACAATTGATTAGTGTATGGCCCATTCGCTACAATGACTGTAAACTTATAAAACTGACTTTCTTTGTACCCTTTACTAAGAACGGTATATTTAAACTTACAAAATGTGGACTTTCTCCTAAAGGTTTATGTATTGTATCTACACAGTGTAACACGGATTATGGTTAAAACGTATAATTGCAGCTGTAACAGGAACATGTATCTTTGGTGATGCAGCAACGTTTATAAAAGATTGCACAGTTTTATTTGGATATATTTTTATTGATGTGAAGTATATGAAATAATTCATATTTGAACTGCGGTTGTAGATGAAAGTGAAGAATGATCATCGCAGTAAATTTTCCAATTTAAGCAATTGGAAAGAAGAAGCCTGAAAAAAAAAATCAGGGCTTCAACGGGATTCGAACCCGTGACCTCCTTTATTGCGCATTTCTTAGGTTCTGCCTTGGGATTGACAGCAGTGTGCAGCCTGGGGTGGGGAAATTTGGTTGCATTTGACTGGAATGATTTGCCCGTGGGCAGGGAATTTGATTGCAAATTTTTGAAAAAAGTCAAATCCCCACCCCATGCCCTGTCTCCCCCGCCCGCCGGCATTACATTGATAGGTGCATTACGATTAATGTTACCTACCCACAGAGACTCCAAAGTGAAATAAGAAGGCTTGGTCCCCAGCGGAGCGGACGGATAAGGGCGCGAGGGATGATGGGAAGTAAAGAAGAGGGGAAACTGGATCGAAGGATGCGGAGGAGCTCAAATTGCGTTACATTAAAGTCATATCATCATAAACAAACAAACGACAACAACGAAAAGCACAAAGTCAAAAGCTTAGGATACAGTTCTTTATGTGGTTGTTTCACAGAACACTTCGATATCTGTTGGCGTGAAATTGTAGCTTCCAGCATAGAACGTACACTTAAACCGACCATATAAAGAATACCCTGGGGGGAGGGGGTAGTACCCGCCACAATAAGTATAAGAATCCTGGTTACTAGTAGCGTTGTTTGATATGACAATATCACTCCAGCCAAATCTTGGTCCATATGAAGCACTCGATACAGCAGCAAAGTACCGACAGTACTTATCTAGCTTAACTCGCAGCTTAACAGGATTGTACACAGCGTGTGGTCCAGAACCTTTGTTATTGGTCAATGAGTAGATGAAGGCTTCACTTGAATATCCAATCCTATAATGTCCAGCTGGGAGATAATGACGACATTTTACAATTCTTACAAACCTTACTAAAGGCGCTCATAAAAAATCAACTTTTAGGAATATTCAATGAACCGGACTTCTGTTTAAAATAGTGAGTGCAAGTCCAGCTTGACATACAAACATCCCTAGGCAACCTATGCATAAACGCATTTTTAAAATTTGCTGTTTTTGTATAAATTTTTCAAAGTTCCTAAAAAAGTGTCATGAGCCATACATCCATTTGTTGCCTTGCTGAGTACAGTAATGACATTGTATTGACTTTGACAATTTGAAAATTAGTGGGGGGTGGGGGGGGGGGGGAGAAAAGTGTTTTAGAAAATTAGACAGTTTTAGGGGAGTAACAAATTGCTATAAGCAGACTCCCTACACTGGAATCCCTCAGTGTTAGTAGAAAAGAGCATGGTGCAAGCTAGAATGAAACCTACATTAAGACTATAAAAATGACAGACAGTATCATACGTGTATCTGATACATTTTTTTCATTTAGCCTCTGCATGGCTGAACCACTTGATTCCGTGTTTCGTTCTGTTTTTAAAGTAATTTTGCTCATGAATGTTCACGGATGTAACTACCTTGATTTTTACACGGGAAAATTTTCCTTTTTATCCTTCTGATTACCTTGACCCGGGGGGTAGTTGGTAGTTCTTAAGCCACACTTTGCTTCATTAAAAAGAGTCCGTAGTTCATAGTTACAGAGCTTTAAAGATAATTCAGTAAAATTAGGCTGGGACCAGAGGCGTCCTCTCCTTTCCAGTGGCCCTTTAATGGGTTTTGTAAGGAGAGGGCGAAACCAAATTTTGCAAGATTTTGTTTATTGATGTTGTGATTTAAACCTGAAATCAACGATAAAAAAGTAACTTGACGTTTCGATGGTTTCTTGTCATCATTATCAAAAGATAAGAAATTAACATGATTCCTGGAAATATATATTATCTTTGATAATGATGACATGAAGACAAGTTTCTTTTTTATCATTGACTTATGTTTTAAAATGTATTTCAAAATCGATTCTTATAAGATTTAAACCTGACCGGGATAATTTAATTTAAATTGTGAATTAGAGAAAAACAAACTTCTGGTAGTTGTATTCAAGTGACGTCATAATGAAAATGGCCGATTCTGATTGCTGAGGAATAATTTTCTCGCCTTGAATTGTACGTAACCAAAAAGACATCCTTCCTTTTTTTTGTCAGTACATGTACTCAAGCCAAACGCCGCTGTACTACTTTATCGTTCTTCGTTGTTAGCAAACAAAAAAATGTACATGTAAATGTACTCACGCAGTGGGCTTTCCCAGGATACGTCAATGTATCCACCAAATATGAAACTGCCGACTTGAATGATGGTTACAGTGGGTCCCTTGTCATCACAGTTGCCGTGGAACGTAGACGCTGCCCAGCCGTCCTCTTTAGCGTGCCAACACCTCACAAACCTATTACGGACTGAACTATTGATCACGGGCTCCAAAAACGACCTCAAATTCTCCAAATACCTACTGTCGTTGCCAAGAATAGTTGATGCATCAAAACCACCTTTAAAAAAGAAAAGAAATCTCTGGTTCTTATCTTTGGTATTAGCGCCAGCGGCACAGGTGGCACTCAGCGTAGTTGTACACGGATAGTCATGTCAAAGGTATATGAGACTCTCTTTGGGCGAAGTCGAGACGATCGCGGCTATTGATGAAACAACGATCTTAGAGTTAAAGACCCCGTCCACACGGGAATCCGCAACTTTATTTGCGCATTTGGCTTCCTTCCACACTTATCCAGTGAATCATTTGTTATTCAGTAACGTCACAAGATCGAGCCCAGTTCGTTACCGTGAATATTCAAGACGGTGCCCAGCGCAATGTCACACACTTCTTTACTTTTCGTACTTCAGTTTCAAGTGTTATAACGTGTGTGTAGTTAAACCTTGCTATCATTACTGTAAACTTCAATAATGCCAACAGCGGCTCGACATTTTGAAGCTTCTTTCCATGTAGGACGGACGAAACGAAAACGAAACGAAATAGTGCTTGATGGGACAATTTTCTCAGTGAAACATTTACTGAAGAAGATTGGCGATAACATTTTTGCAAGAGCCGAAGATCGCTTTGCCAATTAACTGAGAGTGGATACGTGTGGACAGGCAAATTCGATTTGAATACGGATTCGTGTAGACGTGAACATTTTTGAATCCCGAAAGAAAAATTTGCGGATTAAAATTATCCAGATACGTGTGGACGAGGCCTTAAACGTCGCGGCGAAGATCTTATTGCCTTTTCGATAAAGTTTGACAACGTTGCTCCGGCGACAATGGCATGGGGAATTTTTTTTCAAAATGTGCGCTGCACGTTCAGGTTTTTTTCTGTTTATCAGTCAATACTATTGCATGCTTTTTTTTATTTTCTCGTTTCCTTCGCCGTAATCGTGGTTGTTCCAACTCGCCAGTAGCGTTACCACGCAAAACAACTCTTGATATGCGATGATTTCGTTGAAAAGCTGGCGATTGATGGGAAATTAAAAGGGCGACGAAAACGATGTCCGCGGTTACTCGCCAGTAGAGAGGCTCGTATATGAAAACAGTTAAATTTACTACCATGAATGCTTGCTATAACTCTTACTAAGTTAACTACGGTTCATTTGCCATCAAGAATCCTCCTTGTGAGCTTGACCTCTGCGTTTAGGTTCACCACTTTTTTTGCATATATGCAGCCACTATAATCGAAAAGTGCTCTACAGGAAGAGAGCTTGTAATCTTTGCCGGGTATATTACGAACAAATAGACCAATTCCGAATTGCCCTAAGCCTCTGTTTCAAGGCGAGGCTAAGTTGCTCTCCAACAACTTTTTCCATACAAATCTTCTTATTTTTCAAAAAAATCCAGACTGTCATAAAATCTCATTCTTGAATGATGGGGGCCTGGCACGACAATTTACCCGCGCCGTTTAGATTCTCTCGACTAGCTCCCAGTTGGTCTGCTTACTCTGTTGGTTAGAGCGCTGCACCAGTATCGCATAGGTCAAGAGTTCGAATCCGGTACAAGACTGAATTTTTTTCAGGCCTTTCTTTTCGCAACTCCATTAGTCATTATAATAATTTGATTACCAAGAGTAAGGGTGGATTTCCACTGTCGCGTAATTTTCACGTGCGTGTACACGCACGTAAATTTTACTCGCGTAAATAAAATAGAGACAAGGTATGAAGTGTTGCACTTAAACGTGAAGTTGGACAAGGTTTTACTTTTACGCGCGATCCTTCATATATTGCCTCTCTTTTAACTGGTAAATTTTTCCTCTCGTACGCACGTAAAAATTACGCGACAGGGGGCCTAAAGTAAAGGGCCTAAAGTAGTTGCTGTCTTCGCTAAACGTCAATAGGATCCCAAGACGCACTACCAACTAAGCCATCAACCCCCATTCCCCTGCAACCTTCACTCGGATCATTTTATATTTCTTGGCTTAATTCACTCACTTACATTAATGTACTTTTTCCCCTCATCTCCATAATATGGTGCATATGTTTGGTTGCAAACACAGCTATAGGATCCAATGGTGTTTGTACAGTTCAAGGCACTAGCGTCGCAGTAATGTAAGTTGTCAGCACATTCATCTACATCTGAAAAAATAAAATTCCAGAACTACACATAAACCTACCTCCTACACTGAAATCACAGAAATCAAAGACAGCTTCCGTAAGATCGCTGAGATCGAGCGCTTAGTGCTGTAACAGGTGACCTGATCTTGGTTTATTTAAGTGTAAGTGTAACTAGGGAAAGAGTATTAAAGGGACTACTACCAAAGGGAGCTATATAAGCCCGACTCTGTAAAGGCGTGTCAATAAGAATGACCGAGACCCTGTACAGCCCCGAAATGATCCCGACCCCGAAATGATCCCCAACCCTGAAATGATCCCCAAATCGACCCCCGAAATGATTCCCATTTCTCTTCACGTCGACCCCGAAATTTCAATTCGGGGTCGATTTGGGGATCCTTTCAGGGTTGGGGATCATTTCGAGGTCGGGGTCATTTCGGGAGCTGTAGATCAGGTTTTATGAGCCCGCGAGACTGAGCAGCCCACCCAAACCCTTGTTTTTACTAAAACCGCTGGACGCCACAACCTGGGGACAGTCAACCTGGGGTCAATTTAATAAAACTTTTACGTGTAATTTACAAGTGTAGCCATTGTTTTAGAGTCTGAGAACAAAAGCTACACTTGTAAATTACACGTGAAAAGTTTTATCAAATTGACCCCAGCGCTGGTTGAGGTCATTGTTATCTAAGGTCTTCCCAAATTTTTACCTTTACAAATGCTCCCATTGCCTGTGTAGCCAGGCCAGCACATGCAGTTGTAAGAGCCAGCTGTGTTTATACAATTCGCATTTTTGTGGCAATCATAGCTTCCCTTTTCGCATTCATCGATGTCTGAATAAGAAAAAAAAAATGAATATCATTGAAGTCTTATCATGACATTTATCAGCAAGTTTTACCTTTACAAATGCTCCCATTGCCTTGGTAGCCAGACCTGCACGTGTAGTCGTAAGAGCCAGGTGTGTTTGTCAATTCGCATTTATGTGACTTCCCTGCTAGCAGAGGTCTCTCACGACGAGGGGTCAAAAAAAGGTTGGGACACTCCCAGATTGGTTTCCTTTAGGGGTTTAATTCAAAATTTCTGACGAGCATCACCGCCCCTTTCATATGGGAGTCCTCCCGGGGAACAGTTGACGTAGACGTCGACGTGTTTCCAGTTTGTATGTGCCCGAAAAGTCACGTATTCTTTGTGGCGCAGACAAGCGAAAACAGGACTGAATATGTCTGCGTTTGCTGGCCACATAATCACCTGTTTCACAGCGTTCTCCCGTGTAACCTGACTGGCATTCGCAAAGGAACTTCTTGTCCGTATATCCAAGAAAACACTTTCCATTGTTAAAGCAGGGTTTGTGGACACAAATATTCTAGTGAGAAAAAAGCGTAATTTAGACTTAATGACATTTTACTATTATGTTGTAGACTTGGAGCAGTTCCCTTTTCAGTCTGTCGAATCGAGGCTTGGCAGAGCCAGCCAAGAGGGGAACTGCAAAAAAGTTTTTCCTTGACTGCAAAAAACCCAACTGTTTTGCAGTCTACGTAATTGAGCCTCAGGGTATTTCCAACGATATCGAAGTCGCGACTATCCTCGCTGCTGAAGGGACGATCATAAAGATTAACCCTTTCACTGCCCGAGTGAATAAAAGAGTTTGTAAGGTGGTTCTAACTTTTGAGTCTGTGGATGAAATCTTAAAGTGAGACCATTCAAATGAAACCTTTCTACGTGTACTTATACATGATATTTGTTTTTCAAAATTTTAAAATGAAATTTGGAATTTGTGTTGAATTTTTCTCTTGGCCACATTTGGCAGTGAAAGAGTTAAAGCGACAATCGCATTGCCATTGCAGTCAAGTTTGACAACGTCAGTCGTGCAATGACGAGAGAAATCTGCCAAAAAGTGCGCTGCACGTTCAGAGTTTTTGCTTGGCTTATTAAACCTGTTTCTCTTTTTATTTTTTTCTTTTCCGTTGTCGTTTTGTTTGCGCTGAGGTCGCTAAACAATTCTTGATATGCGACTGTTTTGCCTAAAAAACTAAAACAGGGGCACCCAACGAGGATATAGTTCAAAACCACTTAACATGGCATTGTTGAAGGTATTTTAGTATTCAAACGGTAGATATAGGCCTATTTTTATCCCCTAAAAACTTTTCATCTGTTCGGATTTCCTAGCTGAAAGTCTAGTGATCCGAAAATTATATAGGGACAAAAACTTACCTTCTCGAAAATTTCAGCCAGTAAAAGGCTCCCGAAAATTCTAGGTGGCCTTTTTTAGGGTCAAAATCCGTTAAAAATGGGTAATTATACCATTTTGTAGATGTTGGAAAATCCTAGGAGAGGCAGGCAAGCAAGAAATTTTACAACAAATGCTCCGAAAATTCTTGATCTCAAATCGTCTTTCGAACAGATATTTTCCCGAAAATTGCCGTTGGGTGCCCCTGCTAAAAAAAAACCGACGCTTTGATGGAAAAAGGAGATGAAATCGATCCTTGTTTTTCTTTCTTTCGCTTGCTTCTCTTTTTCTTTTCTCCTTTTGACTAAAGATTTCCTTTGACTTTTATAGAGTGTTTTCACTCACGTGGCCAGCATCTATGCAAATTTATTGGAACAAAAGGAAGCGTTTGCATAAGAAAAGAGTTCAACTCCCAGAGGACTGGTTTGGGACACCAAAATGGCCGCCGTTTCATTGTTTTGGGACACCAATATGGCCGCCATGACGTCATGTGAAAACACTCTATACTTATGTAGGTTTTCCATCATTAACATATACAATTACCTCTAAAGGTAGAAATTAATTATAAAGGAAAACCCATGCAAACGGCTGATTCAGCTGATATCGGAAAGATAAACTGTATAAAAAGTATAAAAATATCAGCAGCTCATCTCCCCATAATAAACACTAGTTAATTAAGGGATTGTTTGTCTTATGAGTTTGCATATTTAAATAATTTGACAGTTTCTAGAACCTAAAATGTTTGTTGCAAAAAATGACACACTTAGTCCTATAACATCAGCTCCATATGAAACACTGATGACATTCATTCAAGGATCCTGACTTGCCTCATCTTCATAGCCATAGAGACATCCTTGCCTTTTCATAGACCGGTCAGGTCTTTTCTGCTGGTTGTTTTTCTAAACCTATACGTCTTTGTTGCAGTCTCGCTGGGGCCATTGCTGGTTTTAATTGAGGCAAAGCATTTCAAGGAGGATATGGGCTAAAGTTTGGCTGATCTTGGCTGGTAGGCCAAAAGCAACATAAACTGGACTACTAAAAACCACGTACCAGGTATTTTTGGCATTTAAGTGTAGCAGTTCAGAAGTTCCTGCCCAATAAATTCTTCGTTAAATATGTCATCATCACTTTATAAAAAGTTAAAGTACCATCGTGGTCAACTTCCCTCTTCTCAAGATTATCGCTGTCCGTGTCGGCGTCGGCGTCGTCATCATCATCATCATCATCATCGTAATCTTCACTATAACGTTATACAAGCTAGATCATCGCCTTCTTAAACTCTTATCATTATTATCTCTATAATTATGACAGCACCATCGCTGGTAACAAATAATTTATAATTCAGCCTACCTCTGTTCCCCTATATGTCCAGCCGCGTCTTGATTTTAAATTGTTTGGAGACTGTAGGTGATCTGAGTTACACAACTCACAGACCTTGATACCTTTAATTGTTGGACCAATGTTAATTGCCACGCATTCTTTCCGGTGAAGACATTCTGCTTCACATGATATGTGGGCTTCAAACGAAATATTATAGAAGACGTGCCCTTGAAGATAATTGTCTTTCACTGGAGGAGAAAACTTCAGGCGTCGATTTTGGCTGCAACCTACAAAAGAGAGAGTTGTTCAAAATAGTTTATAAGTTATGAGTTTCTGGTTCCACAACATGTTACTGCTTCATTCCTCTATCGTCCAATGAAAAGGGAAGTCGGATTCCGGAATCAGGAAGTTCTGCTTGTGGAATCCGAAACCAGGACAATTTTGCTCGAGAAACGTGGAATCCTGCCTTTGGAATCCGGAATCCCACTAACAATACTAACAATTGAAATTCAGAATCCAAGTTCTATTGACAAAGACTAGAATCCAGTATTTGTCAGTACCCGGAATCCGGAATCCACGGCATGGAATCCAGAATCCAAGATTGTCTTCGATTCCATTGCATGGGGCGACCTCTACATACAGTGAGGTATAGCTGGCTGCAATAAACTCTGTCTTCCCCATCCACTAGTTTTTCACCCCCCCCCAAAAAAAAAAATGCAATTCTGGCAAATCCAAGTTCTATTGACAAAGACTAGAATCCAGTATTTGTCAGTACCGAATCTGAATCCACGGCATGGAATCCAGAATCCAAGATTGTCTTCGATTCCATTGCATGGGGCGACCTCTACATACAGTGAGGTATAGCTGGCTGCAATAAACTCTGTCTTCCCCATCCACTAGTTTTTCACCCCCGCCAAAAAAAAATGCATTAAACAGTGCCTAGGAGGTCTGAACTGCGGTCAGAATACAAAGAAAAAACATGAAAAGGCTAAAGGTAAGCTTCAAAGCGATATTCAATGCACATTTTATTAATTTAGTGAGCAAAGAATATTTCTCATACAACGTCTTACAATTTTCTTGCTGTGTGAATAATTAATTAGCCTAGAAGAGTAGTACTGTTCTCGGGTTCAGTTGGCATCCTAACATGCATGAAACGCAGTCAACACACAAATAAACATTAGAAAATACTAAGTGCAGGCTTAAAAGGAATAATTCAATGTACGTTTCGCTCAGTTATAGAGAAATAGGATAATTCTCATACAAAGCCTTATAATTGTTGCCGTATCAATAATTAATTAGCTAATGGATAATGTTGCTCAGGGCTCTCATAGTGAGCTTGGGCTACCTGTGGGTGAACTTTAGTCAGTTACTTATAGACAGCGCTGGGCAAGTTGCAGAGTAGCAAGGCGTTAGAGACGTTCAGATCTTCTTATGATTTAAGGCACGATCCTATCTCTTTAAAATTAATACTGGCCTTTTTA